CAGATGTGCCAGGACAGCAGCAGGGATCTTAGGCGGGCACAGAGGTTCGTTCATCCAGATGGGGGGGGGCTTCGTGAGAATCTGGCTTGGGGGAGAGGGGGCACAACGCAGGTGGAGAGGCGCCTCTAAGCATCTGCAGAGTTTGGAGAGCCAATTCGGTCCCTCCAGGCTCGGCTAGGACAGACCGCCTTCCGATCCCCTTTCCCCAGGCCTGCAACCCCCCTCCCCAAATCCTTACTCCCAAGACCTTCTGCTCCCCCCTCCCACCCCCGGCGTGGGCTGCGGGCAGGGAGAGCACCGGTGGCATCCTTGGCGGCTGCTTTGCGGCGACCCAGGGACGCCAAGCCCTTGTACAAGTAAACCATCCCGGACTTCTGGCGGAGGGTGACGTTGACCACGGTACCCCCGGAGCCCCGCAGGGCCACCTCGGTCCTATCGATCTCCAACGCGGTGCCCGCCATCATGGCTCCCCACGCCGCGTCTTCTCCCTCTTGGCAAGTCGGTGGGAGGGAAAACAGGCAGCTGGCGGGCAGAGGAGGAAGTGAGCGAGCTGAAAAACCCCGAGCCGGAGAGGGGGGGCGAGGAGTGGGCGGGGCACCCGGCGTGGGTGGGGGCGGACGGACGGGCACTTTCTCCGCTGGGGGAAGGGGATGTCCCACTGCCAAGCCAGGGGCGCCCTCCGTTTTCCTTGCGCTCCCTTTCTCCCGCTAGAAGCCCACGGGGGTCTCTTGAGCCGAAATGGGGAGGGGTCTTTTGAAGTGCTGTTGCTAACACGCAGGGGCAGCAGAGGAATGTGGGTCTACAGAGACCCCCCAAGAGTTCCGTCCCACCTACTCCTGCCGGAGAGGTTTCAAAGGGGGGAGCGCGCCCACCCCAGCATCCCTACTTTGCCCTGGAGATGCCCACCCAGTCACCCACCCCGGACGGCCCGCCTTTGTCTTTCGAGTTTGGTCCCACGGCGGGTGACCGACCTCCCGCCCCTTTCCCCGAATGGGACCGGGGTCTCCGTCTACGCAGCCCCCGGACTTCGGGGGTCCCCGCGCAGCCCGAAGGAAAGTGGGAGGGCTTCTTCCACGGGGGAGCTACATCTTCAGCCCACCCCCCATCCCAAAAGCAGGGAGGCAGTGGATCCTGCTCACCGCGGGCCGCTTCTGTGGGGTGGAGAAAGAGATGGGGGTGCCGGAGGCTAGTCGTAGCCCCCCCTCCCAAAAAAACAAAATAAAACAAAACAAAAAAAGCCGGAGCAAAGAGCGGCCGAAGGGCAGGGACGTTCCACTGGTCTCGTTCCTGCGAAAAAGTGGGAAAAAAGAAGAAACCCGTATTTGGTCGCCAGGGCGTGGATCCTGAGCGGTGCGTGGGCTCTTGTTTTTTCCTCCTCCGCGCCCATGCGGCGATTTTCGGGAAAAGGTTCTGCCCCGCGTCCGACCCCCTCTGGCGAGGAAGGCTACTCTGGATTTGGGGACGGGACGGGGGGGTTGGAAGGAGGAGATGGAATTGAGGAACCCTGCTGCCCCCCACGGGGGATCCTGGCTACCGGACGGTCACGCGGGGCAACGCCTTAAGCAACGGGGAAAAAGTCCCGCCGCTGGAGCCGGTCCTTTGCAATAAACGGCCGTCCGAGGAGGGAGGATCCGGAGCGGGTTAGCAGCGTGGGAAAATACGTGGAGGAATAGGTCCCGCAGAGCGATCCGGAGCCGTCCGCGGCATGTTCAGGAATCGAACACGCGCCCTGCTGCCAACAGCTGGAACTTCTCGGCTCCGGCCGCTGGAAGAGGCTTTGGAAGAGCTGGCGGGTGGGGTGGGGGTGGGGTGGAGGGGGGATGAAAGGAGGCTGGAAGCGATTTGGAGACCAAGGAACTCCAGGAGACTAGATCCCGGGCTCTTCTAGCATCTTGGAGAGGTCCTGCCTCTGTCCCAGGGCCGCTGCAGACAAGCCTCTCCTGGTGGGCAGGGTGGGCAGGATTCGACCCCTAAAATAGGGGGTTTATCCAGATAGTCCTTGACTTACAACAGTTCGTTTAGTGACCGTTCCAAGTAGCAATGGCATCACAAAAAGGGACTTCGGATCCTTTTTCCGTTAGCTTTCTAGGATCCCCCTGCTCACGTCATCAAAATTCAGGCACTGGACCACCTACTCGTTTAGGTCGCAATATTCCGGGAGTCATGGGATCCCCCTTTTGCCACAACCTTCCAACAAGGGGGAAGGATTCGCTTAACGACCGGGTGACTGACTTAACAAGCACAATTCCCTGAACGAAATTCAGATGCTTTTGGCCACCAACTCGTACTTACGACGGGTGCAGTGCCCCACAATCCCAGGATTCCCCCTTGTGCCACTTCCCAACGAGCAAAGACAATGGGGAAGCCGGGTTCACTTCCTGACCGGGTTGGTAAGTGAACGAGGGCAGCGATTTACTTAACGACAGTGTCCGAGAAAGGTTGCAACACGGAACCAAAGGCCCGTAACGCAGTATCTCGCTTAGCAACAGAAACATTGGGCTCAGTTGCAGTCTATGCTGGGTAATCCACCAGGTGCTTCCTTTTAATGTGGGTAGTCCTTGGTTTATGACCCCGAGCCCCAAATTTCCGTTGCTGAGGGAGAGGTTTGTTAAGGGAGTTTTATCCCATTGTACAACTTTTCCCGCCATGGTTGTTCAGTGAATCACCATCGGTGTTGAGTTAGTGACACGGGGGGTGGTGGTGGTGGTGAAGCTTCCCCACCCACTCCCGGACCTGGCTCGTTGGAAGGTCACAAAAGGGGATCGCGGGGCCGACCCCGGGGCCGTCATAAATATGAGTCCATGGCAGATCACGTTGATCGTGGGGACGCTGCCACAGTCGTGGGAAAAATGGCGGAGGGCTGTTGTAACGTCGAACGGGCACTAAATGAATCTACCTGTAGAGCAGGAGTCGGCAACCTCCAGGCAGCAGCACGCCAGAAACTGGGGCTGCACAAGCAAGCGAAGCATCCCATCCGTGGGATGCAGGCGGCAGGCGAAACCATGGCTCCCCCCCACTCTGGTCCGCGGAAAAATATCTCCCCATGGAACCAATTCCCGGTACCTCAAAGGTTGAAGGGAGGGGCGCTGCTGTAGAGGAAATGGATGGAGGGACCCGCAGCCCACCCTTCACCCACCCAATCTTTCGGGCTGCTTTCCGGTCTTTCCAGATTGATCCACGCAGGCGAAACCCAGTCGGAACGAGCCACTGGGTCGGCCAAAGCAGCTGCCCGCTCGGCCCCAGGAAGGACAGGCGGCATTTGAATCAGAACCAGAATCGAGCTGGAAGGGGTCATCTAGTCCACCTCCCTGCTCATGCAGAAGACCCTATGGCATTCCCGGCCAATGGCTGTCCAGTCTTTTCTTCAAAGCCTCCAGTGATGTAGTAGGACCACAAGTTCTGGTGGCAAGCAGTTTCGCTGGTTAATGGCTCTGGCTGTCAGGACATTTCGCCTTAATTTTAGATTCTCTCCTTGATTAGTTTCCATAGTTTGTCTTGCCTTGGTACAGAATAGAATAGAGAATAAAGAAACAGAGTTGGACAGGACCTTGGAGGTCATCTAGTCCAACCCCCTGCTTGAGCAGGAGACCCTTACAGAATCATAGACTAACAGGGCTGGAAGGGACCTTGGAGATCATCTAGTCCAACCCCCTGCTTAGGAAGGAGACCCTATACCCCTACAGTCTCTTCTTAAAAACCTCCAGTGATGAAGCACCCACAAGTTCTGGTGGCCAGCTGTTCCACAGGTTAATTGTCTTCACTGTTAGGAAGTTTCTCCTTAATTCCAGGCTGCTTCTCTTCTTGAAGAATCAGAAGATCATGGACGGATTGAAAAAAAATAATAATAGTAATAATAAAAGTAAAAACAAAAAAAGAACGCAGCACGCTTTGTGATTTCTATCAGCCAAACCGCCAAAGCAACCAATTTTACAGAAGACAAATCTACGCTCGGATGTCCACTGGCTTCCTTTATTTCGCAAAAAAACCCTTTCCAATATATATATATATATATATATTTAGCAAGTTAGCATGGGGGGGGGAAATCAAAACGCCAGGATTGGGAGAGAATGAGAGGGTAGGGGTGGGGGGACCACCGCTGGATTTCTGCCCTTTGCGCCTCGAGCAATTTACTTTACTTTACTTTAGTTTTATTAGACTTCTATACCGCCCTTCTCCAGAAGGACTCAGGGCCGTGTACAGCCATATTAAAACACATAAAATTTACAAAATTTAAAAAACATTAAAATCAAATATACAAAAATTTGGCCCACAAATTAAAAACTGACATACACCCATTAAAATTCATATTCATGTTAGACCAGCCCGGCTTGTTGGAACAAGAGGGTCTTCAGGGCGCGGCGAAAGGTGCGCAGGTCGGGGATCATACGCACATCTAGAGGCAGCTCATTCCAGAGGGCAGGTGCCCCCACAGAGAAGGCTCTCCCCCTGGGTGTCGCTAGTCAACACTGTTTGGCCGACGGCACCCTGAGGAGACCCTCTCTGTGGGAGCGTATTGGCCGGTGGGAGGCTATCAGTGGCAGAAGACAATCTCGTATATACCCGGGTCCTAAGCCATGGAGCGCTTTAAAGGTGGTGACCCACACCTTGAATCGCACCCGGAAGACCACTGGGAGGCAATGCAGCTTGCGCAGGAGGGGTGTCACGTGGGTGTGACGAGTCGCCCCCATAATCACCCGCGCCTCCATATTCTGGACCAGAATGCTCTTCAAGGGGAGCCCCATGTAGAGAGCATTGCAGTAATCCAGAAGGGACGTGACGAGGGCATGAGTGACCGTGCGCAGGGCATCCCGGTCCAGAAAGGGATGCAACTGGCGTATCAGGTGAACCTGCTAAAAACCTCCCCTGGCCACGGCCGTCATATGACCTTCCAAAGACAGCCGTGCGTCCAGGAGTTGCGAGCCCTCTCTGAGGGGGCCAGGATCTCACCCCCAATAGTCAGCGATGGAACCAGCTGACTTTACCGGGACGCCGGGAACCACAGCCACTTGGTCTTGGAAGGGTTGAGTCTAAGCCTGTTCCTCCCCATCCAGACAATTTGACTTCAATTGACAGGCAAGCATCCATTTAGTGACCATGATGGGGCCAAAAAGTGACTTGTGACCAATCCTTGCCCTTACGACCGACACAGCGGACACAGGATTGCGATTTGGCGGCCGTCGCAGAGTGAGGATGGCCGCAGTGTCCGTGATTCCGCAGGGTTGGCAACCTTCCCAGCCGGGTTCTGACCAGCCAAGGCAACAGGGAAGCCAACAGGTTGTGTGTCTCGAGTCCCGTTTCCGCGATGTCTCACTTAATGACAAATCCCCCGGTCGCTATTGTGGTTGTCAGTCCCCTTTAAAGATTTCCTGGGCTTCTTACGCTCTGGAAATCCCCAGTGTAAGAATATTTACCAGATGAAGGGTAACAGAGCTATGGGGAAGGAGAGGAGAGAGAGAGAGAGAGAGAGGAGGCAGCAGCGAAAAAGAAGGAAAAATAAGGAAGGAAGGAAGGATGGGAAAGAAACAGTAAGAGAGAAAGCAAGAGAGAAAGAAAGAAAAAGAGAAAGAAAAAACAGAGAGAGAAAGAGAAAGAATGGAAGAAGGAAGCAAGAGAGAAAGGAGAAAGAAAAGAAAGGAGAAAGAAGGGAAGAGAGAAAAAAGAGAGAAAACAAAGTGGGAGAGAGAAAGAGAACGAGAGAAAGAACAAAAGAAAGAATTGAGGGATGGAAGAAGGAAGTAAGAGAAAGAAAGAAAAGAAAAGGAAGGAAGGAGAAAGAAGGGGAGAGAAAAAGGAGAGAAAGAAAAAGAAAGAGAGAGAAAAGAAAGAAAGAAAGAAAGAAAGAAAGAAAGAAAGAAAGAAAGAAAGAAAGAAGCCAGGAAGGCTGAGCTCAATACAGATTGTCCTTGAGTTATGACCACAATTGACCCCAAAATTTATCTTGCTAAATGAGAGCTTAGCCCCATTTTGCGACATCCCTTGCCACAGTAACTCAGTGAATCCCTGTAGCTGATTACGTTCATCGCCCGGACGTTAAGCGAACCCGGCTTCCTCCACCCCTCACCCCTCCCCGACTTGGCTGGTCGAGAGGTCGCAAAATCCCGGATCCCAGGGACCCTGTGACGGTCGTCAATCCGAATCAGCTGCCAAGCATGGGGAGGCTGCTCCGGTCCTAAGGCTGAGAAACGGTCCCAAGTCCCATTTTTTCCCAGAGCCATTGGAACTTGGAACAGTCACTAAACGGACTGTTCTAAGTTGGGGACTGCCTGTATTCCCCTCCCACTGAACTGCACCCCAAAACAAGGCCAGGGCTCCAAACTTCTGGGGGGAGAAGGGAGGAAAAGAGGGGGGTCCAGGGAGCGACTGCAGGCCCCTTCCCTGAAGATGCTCCAGAGGCCACCAAGCGAGCGTCACCACTCCTCCTGCCCCCCAACCAGCAGCCATTGGGGTGAACCCTTGTCCCCTTGTTTAGGGGAGGTGGTAGGGCCCAGCCAGAAGCCCCCCTTCTCATCCCCCCCGGCACCCACCGTGGAGACAGTGCGTTCCCTTTTTCCTTCACAGCTTTAATGGAAAAACAATAACCGGCGGTTAGAATAGAATAGAATAGAATAACAGAGTCGGAAGGGACCTTGGAGGTCCCTTCTTAGGTTGGCAAGGACCAGACACGTCCTCGCTGACCCCCCACTAGTGCTCAGAGCCCAGCCCCGTCCCCCCAACGGGACCCAGCGTCCCCGAGTCCCCCAACGGAGCCCGGCGTCCCAACAGACATCCCCAAGTTTGGGCGCAGAGCGGGCATCCGCCGGCGTCATCTGCGATAGACGGCAAAGGCCACGAAGCTGAAGACCAGGGTGAGGCCAGCCAGGCAGGTGGTGGCCGTGGCGGTGAAGACGTGGCGGTGCTGCAGCTGGAAGTACCACAGGGCGGCCAGCATCAGCACCAGGAGGGGCATCATCAGGCTGCCCACGTTCAGGGCAGCGTGGGCAGCTTCGGCGTCAGTCCGGGGTCCGGCATTGGTGGCGGCTGGTGGAGGCCGGTGCTGGGCGACGTGGCAGTGGAGCACGCTGTTGTTGGTGAGGTGCAGGGCGGCCAAAGTCTGGGCGTCATCCCGGAGGAGCTGGCCCTGGTAGATGAGGCGGACCAGCTGCTCCTGGCCTGGGAAGTAGAGCCTAGTGGGCAAGGAAGGAGGGGGGCCGAGGAGGCGTCATTCAGAGTGGGCCCAGGATGCCAAAGGAGGAGGCCCCTGCCCCCCAACTCCTCCTGCCCCCCTTTGATCCAGCCCCCTCCTTCCCCCTTGGCCCCCCTTGTCTTCCCACTTCGCTCCCACTCCCTCCTCCGTCTTGCCCCCACCCCTTCCTCCCCATTTCCCCTGAACCCCACTCCCCCTTGCTCCAGCCCCCTCCTCCACCCCTGCCCCCCAACTCTCTCCCTTGCCATTCCGGGTTCCAAAGAAGGGGTGGAGGGGTGGGGTGGGCGAGGAAGGGCATCCTCCGAGTCCCCCCCTCCTTCCTCCTGAGGCCCCCCCCCACCCCCCCACCCACCCACCCACCCGCGGGGAGAGCGGGGTCCTTTGGGGGCCGGGGGGCTGCACCGTGGCTGACCTCTTGAGGGCGCCCACCGTGTCCCTGGGGCGGACCCTGGCCAGCCGCTCCGTCTCGTTCAGGAACTTGAGCCGCAGCACGAAGGGGGGGCCCGAGCCTTCCTCCCCCCCCTCCTCCTCCCCCTCCTCCTGCTCCCTGGGGCGCGGGCGGGGCTGGTCTGGGCGGGGGGCGGCGGGGCGGGGTTGGTCCCGGCGGGCGGAGGCGGCGGGGAGGGCTCCGTCCCCCCGCTCGCCCGTCCGCGTGGAGAACCAGGCCAGTCCCAGCAGCCCCAGAGCCGCCAGCAGCGCCGCCAGCGCCGTCACCTCGTCCCCGACGCCCTCCACCAGCGCCATCGCCCCGCCGCCCGCCGCCGCCAGGGGGAGCCCCCGGGACGCGCTTCCGGGTTGTCCCGGCCCTGCGTCACCCGCGCGCGACGGCCGTGGGGCCCGCTGGGAGCTGTAGTGGCAGGGCCTGACGCGCTTCCGGGGGGAGGGGGGCAAGGCGGAAGTGGGCGCGCCCCGCTCGCCCCGCCCCCGCTGCGTATTGGTGGGGGAGCAGGAGAGAGAGAGAGAGAGAGAGAGAGAGGATGGGTGAAGCAAGGGAAGAGGGAGGGAGGGAGGAAGGAGAGACCGTGAGAACAGAGAAGAAAGAAAGAAATAGAATGGAAAAAAGAATGAGAAAAAGAAAGGAAGGAAGGAGTGGGTAGAGGTCACAAGAAGGTATCACGTGACCCCGGGACACTGTGACGGTCATAAATGTGAGTCAGTTCCCAACCATCGTCAAGCATCAGAATTCCACGGGGAGGCTGCTACAGTTGTAGGTTTCCCCTCCCCCCCCCCAGGTGCCGTCGTAACTCGGAACGGTTGCTAAGTGAACCGTTGCAACTCGAGGACTTCCTGTATTCCGCCCTCTTGAATAAATCAAAGCTTTGAATATGGACTCCATAGCCATGCAATGCACCCCGAAATCCCTCACACGGGGCCAGGGGACCTGCGGAAGCATCTTCCTCCCACTGCATCCTCAGGGTGGGCGGCATCCTATGGACCTGGTCAGTGAAAGAGTTTCAACTGGCAGGGGGTCACAAAGAGAGCGTTCCTTGCCATCACCCAACCCTTTGGAACATTCTCCGCCCCACCTCCACTCCAGATGTGAGGTCGGCACACCCACACACACCAGTGGTGAAATCCTCCAACGGTTTGCATTGAGTGTGCATGCACAGTGTGCGTCAAATGCACGCTTTGCGTGCATCTGTACCACAGGTGCTACTGCCCAGTGCTGAAAAAGAAGGCTTAAGAAGCCTTTTCTAAGGTAAGTAGAACAGCAAAAGGGGTGGAAACAGCTGTGCCACATGATTTCCTGCTTTCTAGCGAATATAAATCGCACGGCACAGCTGATTGTCGGAAATACCAGTTTGGACTAATCGATATTTCCGACGATCAGCTGTGCCACGCAATTTATTTTTTACTACCGGTTCGCCCGAACCGGTCTGAACAGGTACCATTTCACCCCTGACACACACACACACACGCTGCTGGTTTTGAAGTGTCTGAACCCCTGGACACTCTTGGGGCAGGCAGAGGAGCAGACCACCCTGGGGTGGGTTGACAATATAAGGCCTCCCCCTACTTCATTGTAACTCCCTCCTATTTTAACTGTATACTGCCCCGAGTCACTCCCTTGAGCGTAATTGGTGGTTCCAAATTTAATAAATAAACAGATAAATGTTTGGCTGAAATCAAGATACGTTACAGCTAAAGCCTTCCTGCAATCTACTAAGGGAATTAGCCATCCAAAATGTGAACTAAAGTTACTCTGGAAAGGCATCTGGAGAAATTTATTTGTGGTAATCGTCTTATTGCTACACACTAATCTACTCTGATTGATTGATTGACTGGCTGACAAAGAAGAGAACCAACCTAGAAACCTACAAATCCTTTCATTTCCCCCCTCCCCCCCAATCCAGACAGAGCTGAAGAAACTTCTTGGATGAGAAGCGAAACGTCTTCAAAGAAAAACCAAGAAAGTCCAGTTGCCTTTTGAAAAAGCACCTTTGGGACAACCGGCCCTGAAGGACGGAGAATCTCCATAGACAACCCACCTAGAACTAAGGAGAAATTTCCTTACAATTGTTCAGTGGAACAGCTTGCCTCCAAAAGTTGTGAACGCTCCAACACTGGAAGCTTTGAAGAAGAGATCGGACAGCCACTGGTCTGAAATGGTGCAGGGTTTCCTGCCTGAGACTAGAAGACCTCCCAGATCCCTTCCAACTCTCTTCCTCTGGTTCATCTGCACTCTAATATCGGCATTAGTCTTACTGGGCTGCAGTTCCACTTCCGAGTTAGAGACTATCATCATCATCATCATCATCATCCTCTTTTCACGACCCCATAATCCCTTGCGGGGTGGAGTCTGGGCAACTGACGGTAGCTAGCAAGAGTGTTTGAATGGCCGGATGACCTTCCTGTCGCCAATGCAGAGGTTTATTCAGCAGATATATATTCTCATTGTGCCCAGAGAGAGAGAGAGAAATATCTGCCTCTCCTTAGGATTGAACTCATGGCCTCCTGATTGTGAGGCGAGAACTCCACCTCTGGGCCACTGCACCACTCTTGACGAGTTAGATACTATTACCCGATTCGTTCGCCAGGAGCTCTACTTCGACTGAAAACTTGAGAAATGAGAAGGACGAAGGAGCGTATTGTTCGCTTTTCCTCTTACAAAGACGGCCGAATGGATGAGAAGGGCAACGAGCCTCGGATACCTTGCACATCTTTCCATAATCCTTTGATACGGTGAAAGCTGTACCAATAAAGGCGACTCTTTGTAGCTCAGGGTTGAAGTGAGGGTCTTGGGTGCTGTCTGAGCTGAGGGGGGTTTCTTGCAGAGCTCTGGTAATGTTACGTGATTTGGGTAAAAAACATCCATAAGGAAACCACCAAGCTCACTCAGAGAGCGCTAAGGACCCCGGTTAAAACTCTTCTTGGCAAATTTTGGGTTGGCAGGAAAGTATCGGAATCCAGATAGAGCTGGGAGGGATCTTGGAGGTCTTCTAATCCAACCTGCTATTCAAACAGCAGACTCTTACAGAATAAGAAAATAACAGGGTTGGAAGGGATCTTGGAGGTGGTTTAGTCTAACCTCCAACTCAAGCAGGAGACAGAATGACAGAGTTGGAAGGGATCTTGGGGGTCATCTATTACCACCCCCTGCTCAAGCAGGAGAGACTATACATTCAGAATAGAGAATAACACAGTTGGAAGGGACTTTGGAGGTCTTCTAGTCCAGCCCCCTGCTCGAGCAGGAGATCCTATACTAGTGATGGCTAACCTTTTTGCCATCACATGCCAAAAGCGTGGAGAGTGTGGGAGGGTATCACGCTTGTGTGCCCACACCCATAATTCAATGCCCCCTGCGCCCCCCCCCCCCCTGCCCCTGCCCCCCCCCCACTCCCCACACTTTTGGCACACGATGGCCCAGTGGGCCCAGATAGGCCCATTTTTTGCCCTCCCCAGGCTCCAGAGGCTTTCTAGGAGTCTGGGGAGGGCAAAAGCAGCCTTCCCTACCCTCCCAGAGGCCCTCCGGAGGCCGGAAATGGCCCATTTCCCAACTTCTGGTGGGACTGGAAGGCCTGTTTTTTGCTCTCTCCAGGCTCCAGAGGCTTTGTAGGAGCCTGTGGAGGTCGAAAACAGCCTTCCCCACCCCCCTGGATGCCAGATACAGTCTGTTTCCCAACTTCTGGTGGGCCTGGAATGCCCAAAAATCAACTGGCCAGGGCACATATGTGCGCTGGAGTTGAGCTAGGCCAACGCTTGTGTGCCCACAGATATGACTCCGTGTGCCACCTGTGGCACGTGTGCCATAGGTTCACCATCACGGTCCTATACCATTTCAGACAGGTGAGCGTCCAGTCTCTTCTTAAAACCTCCAGTGATGAAGGATATCAATGGATTGGATAAGCTTAGAAGCCACCTCCTGATCCACACACCTGGCAGGTGTTGAGTTGTGCAGCTGACAGGTCTCTGGTGAATGCCTTTGATGTTTTTTTCCTTTGTAGAAATTGGGGACCTTTTCTTACAGTGCGTAGCAGCTGCAACCTCTCTGTCCTTCGGGGATACCCCTTCCTCGTTCAAGATGGGCAGTGGGTGCCCTGTCAGTGGGAGCCAGAGCGGAGTGGATCACTGGACACGGTCAGTCCTGGAGACCTTAGGAAGCAGAAGCAGCCATGATTTCATTTGCTGGCCCTGATCACTTAGCCGGAGAAAGGTCCCGTCTCTCACAGGTAATGAAAGGAAAAGTCAATCCATCTGTCAATCAATCAGAACAGTGCTGGAGGGGACCTTGAAGGTCTTCTAGTCCAATCTTCTGCTCAAGCAGGAGACCTTATACCATTCTGAACAAATGGCTATCCAAGCTCTTCTTGAAAACCTCCAGTGATGGAGCATCCACAACATCTGGTGAGAAGCTCTTCCAGTGGTCAGTTGTTCTCGCTGTTAGGACGCTTCTCCTTCGTTCCGTAGGTTGCTTCTCTCCTTGATTCGTTTCCATCCGCTGTTTCTTGTCAAGGGATACAAACCTGTTCCCGCAGAAATGGAGACTCGGCGAGGTTCCACAACATCGGAGAAGATCAGGTACGCCACCGTGTTTTCTCCAGCTGCATCCAGGAAGCTGTGGAGATGAAGAAGGCTTCCTCCAGGAAATAAAGACCCTAAAGAAGAAGGCAACGACCGACAAGCACAAAACTCTGGCAGAAAGACGCACACATACACCCGAAGTACTAACAAGGAAGACAACACCCAGGAAGAGGATATTGCAACTCCGCAGCCGCACAAGAACTGACTTCAAAGCAGAAAACGAGCAGGAAAATGGATCTAAGAGGGTCCTTGAAAGGTAGATCCGTTCAAGGAAGGAGGAGGGACAGAGATGCTAAAACAAGAAGCCGAGAACACAGGGAATTTCTTGATCCTCCTTAGGAAGATTGCAAGATTTCTGTGGAAAGGAATCCCAAAAACTGAAGCGGGGGAAACTAGAACGATGCCAGTTCCAGCTCATCCGATTGTCCCTTCACATTCCAAGCAATGCAACTGGGAAATGTGGCTGATCCAGGTTAACAGATGAACCAAGTTGGAAAGGACCTTGTAGGTCATCTAGGCCAACCCCCTATTCAAGCAGAAGACCCTTACAGGATCCTGGAATGACAAGAGTTGAAGGTCATCTAGTCTAACCCCTCCGCCCAAGCAGGAGACCCCACACCGTTTTTGACAGAGGGCAGTCCAGTTTCTTCTTGAAAGCTTCCAGTGATGAAGCTCCCACAACTTCTGAAAGCATCTTCTGTTCCACTGGTTGATTGTTCTCACTGTCAGAAAATTCCTCATTACCAGGTTCAATCTCTCCTT